TTTACTATCAGTGACTTTCATGAGCTGTTAGATTTTAGACTTACACTACTTGAGAGGAAAAAGACTTTTTTTTTGTTCTTATATCTGAACTTCTTTGTAGTTTTTTAAATAGGCACCTTTACCACTGAACATTGTGTTTATTTTCTAATTCAGTTGTCCCCCCCTTTACATATACGTATATGAATAGCTATACTCTTATTAGGTGCAGCTCTCACAAAATAATACCAAGAGAAAATGAATTGTATTTCACATACTCTAGACTATCAAGATATTTTGGTAAGAAATCATTGCCTCTCATTATTTAAAGGTGTTGCAGCTGCCAGAGATCATGTAGATGTATATGGTAGGTGTGTGTTTATATATGTTTTTTCCTGTGAAAATTGATGCAGCAGACATATGTAATGAAGACTTTTTTAGGTTAAATCTGATTATTATTTATAGTCCTTGGTATCGGTTAGAACAAGGAAAAACAATCTTAAAATTTCTGCAATTATTTAAGTTTGCAGAGTTTTTAAAAAAATATTATCCAATGGTAGTGCCTGGGCTTAGGCCTAGCACTATGCCAAACACCTATCAGGTGTTTGATTGAAGTAGTATATAATAAGGACTTGTCACAAGTTAAAAGTATTTGTGCATCTTTCTTGTGGGAAGAAATAATTTAGTCCCTTTATCTTTAAGAAAGAGCCTGCCTTAATGTTATTAGTCATTTTGTATTCTCCTCAACTTCCAGTTCTTGTGCCCGCCTCCCCTGTACTCCTACAGTACTCCATGGAAAGTGGTGTTGGATGAATGGAACCAAAAAATAACAGAGCTTCTTACAGGCTTGAAACCATGTTGGGTCATTTCCATTTCTCTTGGGAGGCAGGGAATGCTGAAGACATACTTAAAAGTAGCATCTTGTAATGTTCATTCTTGAAATGTAGTTTAGCTCATGAAAAAGATGACCAGATATTCTGGTGGAAATGCTTGAGGTTACCATTGAAGGCATTCTTCAGCATTTTTAAAATAAACTTTTAGTACAGTTTTAGGATTTATAGAAAAATTAGGTAGTACAGAGATTTCCCATATACCTCATACTCAGTTTTTCCTCTGTTACTAACGTCTTCATTAGTATCATACATTTGTCACAATTGTGAACTGATATCGATACATTATTGTAAAGTAAAATAAATGATTATTGCAAATTCCATAGTTTCTACTGTCTAATATGTTTTTTCTGTTTCAGGATTCCATCCAGCATACCATGTTACATTTAGTTGTCATGTCCCCTTAGGCTGCTGCTGACAGTGACAAATTCTCAGACTTTGCTTGTTTTTGATGACCATGACAGTTTTCAGGTGTACTGGTCAAGTATTTTATAAAATTTCCCTTAACTGGGATTTGTCTGATGTTCATCTAATGATTAGGCTGAGGTTAGGGTTTTGGTGGAAAAGACCACAGAGATAAACTGTCATTCTTGTATAATACTAGCAACATGACTTATCATTTAGATTTTGACCTTGATCACGTGGCTGAGGTAGTATTTGTCTGGTTTCTCCATTGTAAAGTTACTGTTTTTCTCCCATTTCTATATTGTACTCTTTGGAATGAAGTCACTGTGTTCAGTCCTCACTTATGGAGTGGACAGTTATGCTCCATCTTCTTGAGGGGCAAATCGAAACATTTGGAATGCTTCTGTATGGAAGATTTGTCTCTTCTTCCCTATTTATTTCTGTAAAAACTGCGAGGAGGACACATGTTCTGACCTCCTCTAATCTCACAAGAGGAAGACAGCAGTAACCCAAGGCCTATTACTGCAAGGCCAAACATGCTGCCTCCCTCCAGCCCTTTCACCAACCGTTCCTCCCAAAGCACCCACCACCTCTCTCCTGGGTTCGATAATTCACTGCAGTGGCCACACAGAACTCACAGATTACAGGGTTTATTAGGGAAGCACCAGGCTACAACTCAAGTTCAGGAAGAACTCTCAGTCTCTGTCCCAGCCCACCGTCCCTCAGCCAAGAGTCTCTCAAGTCTCTTTCCGGGGTGCGTGTCTCTTGCGTCTCTTTCCCAGCAACGCGTGTCTCAGAAGCCCGTGTCTCTTTCAGCAGCAAGTCTTCCTCGACCAGCAGTCCGAGAGAGTTCTGCCTCCAGGAGGTTTCCTTTAGAGCCCGCAGGGTGGTCAAACTAGCCAATTATGGCATCAGAACTCTAAGCACCTGAGAGAGAGTGGGCACCTCCCAGAACATTGTTTTGTGCCACTCCCAACAGAAATACTCCAGGTGGTCACCTTCAGCAATCAGGAGCTCCTCAGTTGCTCATAGCAAATTCCACCTTGGAGTTTACAAAGACTTATGGGTAGAAAAGCCACACTAAATAATTTACTACACCACAATTTCCTTAATCAAAATAAATTGATGTAATTTATTTGTATCAATATGAACACATTGGCATTTATCTTATATAATAAATGAGTTGAGTTATAATCCAGTATACGTTTAATTTTTTGTTGTTGTTCAAATTGTGCTATCCTCATCATTGTATTTTTGCTTGTGCATTTTCTTACTTTCTGGCCCTTTAAGATACTCCATGCTCATCTTGTATGTTTTTTTCTCCTAGTCTTAGAATCAGCCGTTGCTATAAGGATTATGCTGAGTTTTTTACAGTTTGCTTTGTAGGAGGCATTCTGATGATGTCATTTTTTGAAAATACTAGAAATTATTTATTTTGTTTAGAAACACCAGGCATAGTTTTAAATCAGGTTTTTTTTCCAAAGTGAAAATTAGACAAAAAGGGCATGGGGGCAGCATGATCTTACTTCCTTTAACGTCATATGGAGTAAGATATATCATGGTCCTCAGCCTAAGGCTCATTCTTATAAAGCAAAGGTCAGACATGCTGCCACCCTCCACCCTGCTTGCCAATTCTGACAACAATTGTTCCTCCCATGGCTTTCTCTACTTATCTGCTAGGTTTGATAATTTGTTTCAGTGGGCACACAGAACTTACAGACAGTGCTCCTGATTATGGGGTTTATTAAGGAAGTAACAGGTTTCAATTTAGGATCAGAAATACAGTTCTTCAATCAGGACACCCTCTTCTCAACCATGCCACAGGCATGCTGTCTCTGGTCTCAATCCCTCAGCCCTGGGATCCCTGCTTGGGAAAGGATTACAGAGCTCTTCTAGCTCTGCCAACAGGTGCCCAGAAGGGCATCCCATTCCTCTAGCAAGCCTTGTACCCGAGGCATTCAGCTTTGTCACACCATGGGCCGGGAAGCCCAGTGCTGTGTCTGATGTCAGGATCTCTTGCTGGGGTGTGTTGCTGCTGCTTTTTGCCATCTCTTGCCATCTCAGCAAAGTATTACAGCTCTCTCTGTCTCCTGGGTCAAGGAGATTGAGCACAGGAATCTTGAGTCCAAAAGAGGTGCTCTACTCCTGGCTCTCTTTCCTTGATGGTAGTGAAATCCCACTTTCCGCCTCTGGGATGACTCATTTTAAGCCTAGTGGATGACAAAACTGACCAATCCTCGCTTTAGGGTTCTGTATACCTTATTTGTACATTGCCACTTCTACAAGCGTTCCATGTACCTTATTTACATTATTTGCAAGCTATCCAATCTCCTTGGTGAGCCACAAGTACCTCACATTTGCATAGTCTCACCTATTCATCTGGGAGGAGTCATAAAGACCATGGCTGGAAGAGCCATATTAAGTAATCCACTGTATCATTGTTGACAGAGTCTTTGACCTTCTTTGGGGTAGTTTTGACAAGGAAATACAAGGTATGAAAAGAAGAAAGGGAACAAATGATTTGGATTGGTTGACAACTCTGGTGTGCAGCTAGTAACACCTATGACTGACTACTGCTTTTGCCCACAGCATATGAGATTGCTAGGTAGCCAGCCTGACCTTTCCTTGTCAGAAAGTTTAAGTGGCAGAGAGCTTGGCACACCCATAACCACCAGGAGGGGGCATCCGCTCTCCCCCCAGTAAGTAATTCCTTGAGTGATTCTGATGTAACATGTGGAAGTCAGTTTCTTTGTCCTTATCCTCAAGGATATGTATCCTTATCCATAATGGAATTCACAGAGCTAGGATTTTGTTGACATGGAGAAATATATTTTTTCTTTTAGCTGTGGAGAGAATTCTTTCAGAAATGATGTGAGGGAGCTGGCACAATTGTTGTTAATGTTTTACCTAGTTTGGTATATACATGTAAAACCAAAGAAACAAACCTGTTGCCATCAAGTCAACACTTGACTCATGACAACTTTGTATGTTGTAGAATAGAACTGCTCCATACGGTTTTCTTGGCTGTAATCTTTACAGAAGCAGATCACCAGGACTTTCTTCCATGGACCACTGCATGGGTTCATACTGCCAACTTTTAGGTTAATCAAAACTCAAACTCAAATTCACTGCCGTTGAATCGGATTTGACTCATAGTGACCCCCTCCTTGGGTTTCCGAGGCAGTTTAGGTTAGTAGTCCAACACAAACCGTTAGTATCACTCAGGGATCTTGGTGTATACATACAGGAATAATAATTTCAAAGTTACTAACATGATGCCTTTAGGGCGTACAAAGAACCAACCTTTTAAAGATATAATCTCCTTTTCATCATCTTAGTTTCCATTATAGACCTGGCTACCATAAATGAGTACACATATTCTCACGTTAGTTCTGTTCAGAAAGAACATGAACTAACTGTCAGTTAAAAAGTAATTCAAATGAAGCAAGTCTGGAAATACATGTTCAAAATAGAGGAAAAAGAAGAAGCTGTGCTTGCATCCAAATGCCAAATGCATATTTCCTTTGTTTACTCTTTTTTAAAAAGATGCATTTTTAGAGAAAAAAAAAATACTACTTTGAAAATTAAAATATGTAATGAGATAACTTTCTCTAAGAATTGATCTGAGTTCTTTTTCTACTCTGTAGATGTTTAAAAAAGTATAGGCAGCTATGATTCTTTATTCTTTTTAGAAATTTTCCTTTGATTGGTGTTTTTCCTTGGCTTCAGGTTAAGAAAGCTCGCTGGCTCTGTAGTCTGGATACTCTGAGTCCCCTTTCTCCATGATGCTGTGTGTTCACAATGGTTATTAGGCAATCCCTATATCAGGAGAAGGGACACTCTAAGGTAAGTTTTAGAGCTGGATTCAGAGTTACCTCTGCTTTTTTGGGAAAGAATCATTTAGCTGTTACTTTTCTGTGTTACATGAACTGATACTAAATGCAGCACTCACTAAAAGAAAATCTGTGTTTGTTTTGATAATTGTTTGAATGTTTTTCTTGCATGGTAGACTTAATTTAAGTGCTGAGACAATCATCACATTAAGAAAAATTTTGTTAAAGGTGATTACTATGAACATATACTACTAGTTTCCATTAATTCCTTCTAATTTTTCTTATTTCATTAAAAACAAAAAACTCTTCAAAAGGGTTCTTGGATTTGAGATTTCTAAGACAAGAGACTTAATTTTAGTGTCAGTTGGGAAAGTAATTAAGTGAAGAAATAGGAGAAAATCATGTTTATTAAGAAAATAAATTTTGATCCCCTCACAGGTTGTCCCAGGTTCCTAAATAGCCAGGAGACCTTTAGAAAAAGGGGACCAGTTACTAACAGTGATTTCTCCATGAATATCATGTGCATCTGATCAGAGCCTGAGCACACAAGATGCTTTTAGAACACACAAGTTGCATATGGAACATAGCTTTTATTACTTACAACAGGAAGCAGCACATCAGGATAGTGCATATCCATTATTGAGTCATTCCCCTCTATGACTGAAAAAGGCTGTCCAAGTGGAGTTGATGACTCTTCTACACATATTCCACTTTGTACCATACATGAGGAACTAAAAAGGGGCCTACCTTCAGTTGATCCCCCTTAGCTAGGTAGACTTAGTTAAGTGAGATGGGAAAACTACTATGTGTGCTTCCACCAAGCGCCATAGCCAAGGAACTCCAAAAGTCTCTCTCCTAGCCATTTTTATTCCCACAAAGCCTACAGGACATGCTGTACACACATATGCGCTGCATTAATAGAGCACAATGTAGATTTTCTTGCCTGACCACTGAGGAGAGGTGGTGGTCAGACTTCTGAGTGCCTAGCCTGGAATTGTATCTCTTTAACCCTGCTGTTTATTTAGACAGACCTTGGGGGTGGTAGTGGTGGGGAAGAATAGCTTGTTTTGAAGTCTAAAGGTATTAGCAGGGGGGAGGAGCAGGGAAGACCTTAGTTGGGCTTGTTGGAAGGATTACCTCCTCATACAAATTATCAGGAAATGTCTTATTTCCCAATTTTCTCTGAGGAAATAGCTATTTGTAGCATGAGGCTTGTATTTTTAAATTGTACTACTTATTCTACGTATAAAACAACATAAGACGTTTGATTATACTGTTTAAGGTTTATCCTTATAAATCTGTAATAGGAAAATTTGCAAGGTAAGTTGTTATTGGTAACAAGATTATTAGGAGATGTCTAACATACATATGAGAACAAAATGTCTTAAAGAGTTTTATTACATACTTTTTTTTTTTTTTTTTAAAGAAATGGAAGCTACTAATTAATTAAGAGATGAGTCTAACCTGTTCCTTAAAAGTAGCCCAGATAGAATGGCTTGCTAGAAGCTTTTTTTACATGTTTAAATTTTTGTATTTACTTAAAAGCTTTGAAAGCTCATTAAATTTTTTTTTTTGTATGCACACATACATAAGGTGCAAATTTCCACCAATTCAAGTAGGACTTTTCCTGTTTGCACAAAGTAGATCTCATTTTATATTGGATTTGAATACACACCTCTTTTGTGACCAGTAGGAGTGGGACTTAATTGTACTACATTTCCTTTAAAATATATTTTTCATGTTGTTAATCAAACAAGTTGTTTAGGTTCTTATAAAATATTTTACAGTATTTTGCTACTTTGGATATCTATAGAATAAAAACATCTGGAAAACAAATCAGAAAAGTATAAAAGAGGATGTGGCATCAGGTAACAAAGTGGGGAAGTTAGAGTAGTAGAAATAATGAAAGGTAAATATCATCTAAACATTTTAGTCTAAACTTTCCCCTCTCCACTCTCACCCCCTCAAAACCTTTTGAACTGAAATAAATTAAGTTAAAATACTTTAGGGAATAACCCTAAAGGATTTTCTTTTAAAAAAAAAGAACTCTAAAGTAAGGATCTTTAGGACTCTGGGTGATACAAATGGTTGAGCACTTGGCTACTAACTAAAAGATTGGTGGTTTAAATCTACCCAGAGATGCTTCAGAAGACAGGTCTGGTACTTCACTTCTGAAAGGTCACAGCCCTGGAAGAGCCGATGAGTACAGTTCTACTTCAAACGCACAAGATCTCCATGCGTTGGAATCACCTTGACAGCCAGTGATTAGTCTTCACAGTGTATAAATTGTTGATTTTTGATACTCCATATTTACTAACTCAGATCTATAGTAAATTCTTGAATGGTTTATTTCTTAAAATGTCCTTAGTGGTGCATTAATTAAATCAGAAATTCTAGGAAGGGTACTCATCTGACTCCTTGTTGTACCCCATCCTTTAGCTGCCTAGCATCACCCCTATTTTATCTAATATAATGGTATTACATTCGTAGTTGCCTTGGGTTTTCAGAAGGCCACAGGAGAGATTTCCTTTTAGGAGTTTGGAGATTTAAGCCTGGGTTTCTTTTTGAAATTCTTTATAATCTTAAGGAAATTGCTAAAAGTTTTGGTCTTAACATATATATGGTTATTAATTGGTTGTAGTATGAACTATTATTACTAAGGTTTATGTGATTTAGCAGTAGAAAATTCTTTGTTATTTAATGGACACAGAGACCAATTATTCTAAATTTCACGCATTTTACCCTTAAAGGTTGAACCCTGTGACCTAATGAATCCATGGTAAAAAGTAGACTCAGCTAGGATGTTACACCACCATTGTCGAAGGAACCCTGAACTTCAGGAAGAATTGCAGATTCAGGCTGCAGTGGCTGCCGGGGATGTTCACACCGTACGAAAGATGTTAGAGCAAGGCTATTCTCCAAATGGCCGAGATGCTAATGGCTGGACCTTGCTTCACTTCTCTGCAGCAAGAGGAAAAGAGAGATGTGTCCGAGTATTTCTAGAACATGGAGGTGAGTTTACTAGAAACAAACCCCTTTTCCCAAGTAGAAACTTAAAACGAAATTGTATTTAGTTTAAAATATATGAATGCGTGTTTATATGTAATTTTTAATGCTTCTCTTTCATTTATACTCAATATCTTATTTTCTCTTGTGAAGATTAGTTATAATTACCCTGAGTTTTGGTTAAAACCATATCGTTTAAAGGATCAGTTTGGTGAATGATTATTCCTACTATTGTAATTAACGTACAGCCAGGTTTCTTCCCTTATCCCAACTACTCAACCCTTTTTAGATTTATCTGGTTGCTTTCATTCCCAAAACAGAAGTGGTACCCACAATTGGAGAATGGCACAAATTTTATGTTGATAATTGCTCAAGCAAGTAGACCTAGTCCCTTTAAACATCTTGACCCTAATAATACCTTATACTTTGGATTTACCTTTTATTGTTGATATTTTCTTTTATTGCTTTAAAGCAGTAACCATTTCCAGAATTATACATAGTTTCTAGGTATCATACAGAAAGATTGGTTATCTCAGGTCTAATTTTGGGTGTGTGTGTGTATGTGTGCGTGTATACTATAAGTATAAAAGGAGCACTGGTGGTGTAGTGCCTAAAGCATTAGACTGCTAACCGTAAGGTTGGTGGTTCAAACCTACCAGCTGCTCCGCAAAAGGAAGATGGGCCAATCTGCTTCTATATTTACCACCTTGGAAACCCAGTGGGGGTTGCTATGAGTTGGAATCTACTTGATGGCAGTGGGTTTGGATTTTTTTGGGAATGTATGATATGTAAAATTATGGAGCCCTGTTGGCACAGTGGATAAAGCACTTAGCAGCTAACCGAAAGGTTGGCAGTTCAAACCTACCAGCCACTCTACAGGAGAAAGATGTGGCAGTCTGCTTCTGTAAAGATTTACAGACTTAGAAATCCTACAGGGCAGTTCTACTCTGTCCTCTAGGGTTGTTAGTTGGAATTGATTTGATGGCATTGAGTTTTTTTCGTTTGGAACCTTCCTTTGATATTTTATACTTTTGCTTGGAAAAACTCTATTCTCGTAAATTTTTGAAACTATAATTTGTCCTACATGAATTTACTTTTTCTCTCAGCTGAATTCCAGCTTACTTTATTACACACATATTTTCTTTACAATTATGGTATAAATCAGTTTCATTGAGATTCAAGTTCTGTATATGCCATTCTGGGTCCTGGATTGCTCATTCATAGTAATTCATTTTCATTTTTAGGGTCTACATGTTACAAGGATAGCCAAACCTACTTGCATCCTGAAGTACAAAATATTAGACATTCCACAGCTCTGGTGAGGGTCATATGAATTGTGTAATATGAATTGGGTCATATGAATACTATGGATGTGACCATGAACTAATTGCAAGACTGATAGACCTGAGACTAGAAGTAGGCAGATGTCCCAGGGCCAGGAATAGTTAACTGTTGATAGGACCCAGCAATCCGCTGGCCTTTGCTGTCTTTGTAGCTGTCTTCCGTCCCTCCTGCCACTCTTGCTCATACCTCATTTCTCCCTAGAACTCGAGCTATCATCAACCCCAGTTTTCTGAAGTTAATGAAGGAGAAGTGTAAGAGGAATGCCAGGAAAAGATCTGAGAAAACTAAAAGGTGGATGTAGAATCAGAACACTTAAAATTCTGGCAATGCATCATAAAACTAAGACCAAGGTCAGAACACACGTTTTTTTTATTCCACTAGTCCTGTCCCTCTTCCCTTCTGCCAGCCTCACTTTTATTTTTTTATTAATATTTTATTTTTGGTGAAAAATATACATAGCAAAACCCACTCCCATTCAACAGTTTCTAGACATAATGATCAGTGACATTGGTATATTCTTCACATTGTGTCAACATTCTCATTATTTCTGTTCTAGTTGTTCCTATTAACTCAAACTCCCTGTTCTACAACCTTCTCATATATGTTTAAAATAGCTGTTGTCCATTTGGTCTTATATAGTTTTTTTTTTTTTTAATACTGTTCTCAAGGATGATGATCTTTACTTTTTATGCTAAACTGTTAACTTAGTTTAAAAGTGATTTCAGAGGATAGTTTGAATTCAAGGTTTGAAGAGCAACTTGGCCATAGTCTCAGGGACTTCTCCAACCTCAACAGGTTCAGTAAATCTGGATTCTTAAAGAATTTAAAGTTTTGTTCCACATTTTCTTCCTTTTTATCTTGATCCATCGATTGCATCCCTGGTCAGAACATTTGGTAGTATAGCTGGCACCATCTTTTGACCTCAAGGTAGAGAGAGTAGTTGATATAAGACAGTCCTGTACTCTAGTTCCTTCTCTGATTCATGGATTTCTGACTTTCTCTATTTTCTATGACGGAGAGAAACGAATGGTATGTGCTCGCCTCATTATTTAAAAAAATAATAATAATTAAAAAAAGCTCACTTTCCAGGATATATGATCTTGTCTCCTTGCAAGCAAAAGAAATCCTCCAAAAAAAAAAGACAAATAAAACCACAGTTCCCTTTTATTAATCACAATTCTGGTCTGTCTGGCCCTGCCCCAGGGTAACCATGGGTATGATTTTGGTGTTTATCTTTCTAGAGCATTTCCTGTTACTATGTATGTACTATAAGCAAATATGTGATATTGTTTTTTGTGTATGATCTTACACTGTATTATTATCCTGCAACTCTTGTGTTTTATGCAACTATATATGACTTGCGACTCGATGGCACATAACAACAACAACAACAACAGCATATATAACTTCAAGATTCTTTATATGGAGGCTTGGTAAATGTTTCTCTTAGGAGCCATAGATAAAATGTAAATGAATGAATGTGCCTGTGTTCTAATAATTTATTTACAAAATCAGGTGAGGGTCACAGTTGCCAAATCTTGTTAAATATATATTTTTATTTATATATTTACATATATATTTTTATTGAGATATAATTCACATAGAAATCACTCATTTAAAGTATATGATTTTAATTTTAATATATTAAAAAAGTTGAATGTTTATTATATTCACAGACTTAGGATATCACAAAGTTGGATATCCATCACTGCAGTCAATTTCAGAACATTTTCAATACCCCAAAAATAAACTCCACAATTGTTCTATAATAATACATACAGATCTACCTCATTCTTTCTAACTGCTGAGTGTAGGATTAGTATGGATATACTAGCATTTATTTAGCCATTGTTTTGTTTTAGTTGTTTTTGAGAATGGTTGAGATTCTCTCAGCAGGAGATTTTATTTTTTGAGACAGTAGTGCCTACATACTTGGTTAAAAACAAAATTAAAGATGCTAGAAATGGTTCAGTGAGGGGTTTTTAGCCCCACCCACTTAGTCCCTTTTGCAGAGGTAGCCATTTTGTCCATGTCCTTAGTATTCCTGTAGAGACACTGCAGATAGGCTGGAATGTTTTTTCATCATTTATCTTCCAGCCTGCTCCTGTTTTTCAATGTTGTATTCTACAGTTTGATTTTTTTTTCACATAACAGTTTAGCTTAGTGATAGTTCCTTGTCAGCATATGAACCTGTCACTGCATGGACAGTTTCTTTTAGCAGGATCAGCACAAGGCAGCTCCTATGAAGTAGAGGTTAAAGATGTCCCAAATGTCCAACTTTTCCAAACTGCTATACACTGCATCATCTCAAACATCAACTACTCCTTCTCCCCTCAGTATTCTCCCTCCCATCTTAGAGTTCTATAATTTACTGCAATGTCTCACAGAACTCACAAACTGCCTAAGAAATGACTCACACAGTTGTAGAGCCTGGCAAATCCCAAATCTGGGTCAGTGTTCTAGGTACCTAGTGCTGCTCTGACAAGAATGTACCACAAATGGGATGGCCTTAACAAATTCTCTCATAGTTTGGAGGCTTTAAGTCCAGGTTCAAAGTGCCAGGCTCTGGGGGCTGTGTGAAAGCTCCTCAACCTTGGGCTTCAGCTGTGCCTCTTGCTCCGACCCACTGAAACTAGAGGCATATCTTCACTCAGGCACCTACTGGGTGCTGAGGCTAACAAGCCCAACGTCAATAAATAAAATGGCACAGTCCCAATGTTACCAAACCACACAGCAGGCCATTAATGCGAGTTCATTAAAAGTCCCAAGATCAGCAGATCATGGCAGGCTGCTGAATAACAACTAGGCTATATGCAGGCTTCAAGCATGCCATCAGCTAGAGACCATTCCCACAGCTGTTTCTTATATACAGGAAGCAGACCACATCCCTAAAGCAGCTACTCAGCTGCTTGTGGTAAGTCCCACTATGGAGTTGATTGCCAGTCTCATCATGGGAAATAACTACCACCAGCTGCCCAGTCATTCAACCAGTCCCTGCCAAGTTGACACACAAATTTAACTACCACACCAGGCCATCAGTCTGGAGCATTCTCTTCACTGACGTGGTTGCAGGGGCTGATGAACTCAAATTGGCAGGTCAAATGACAGGTTGCTGCTCATTAAGGCTGGTGGAAGCTGGTGAATCAGGTCAGACGATAGGCTGCTGGCTCATATCCCAAGAACTGGAGATCAGATGATGACAAACCAGATGCAGAATCCAGAGCAAGAGAGAATTTTGCCAGAGCACTCATATATATTAGATGCAGACTATACCTTCAAGGAAACTAGGAATGAGTCATATTAAAGCATTGACTGAAGATGCACTAATCCTGGCTCATTAACATAGCAGACCACTTGCTCCAAAATGAGACCATAACCACAGGCTTAGGGGCTAGGATTTATAATACATCAAAAAATGGAGGGTGATGGGTAGAAGGATCATATTAGATAATCCAGTGCGCCACAGGCACCCGCTGGCTCTTGTAGCCATTGGTCCTTTCATACTTGAAAGATTTACTTTCTCTTCCCAATCATTTTTCCAGTCTAAAACAGTCATTAACAGTTAGTCCTTCAGTAGGGCAGAGTTCTAAGGGTGAGGTTACTTAGGTACCAGCATCCAGGTCTGCTGCAGGTGTCCTTCTGATCTGGTCAGGTTATCTAAA